TCTGCTCAACAGGGGTTTAAAATAAAAAAACTAACAAAAAACCTTGTCCTAGATTTGAATACCGTCCCAAACCAGGTGGTTGCTCAGCTTCATCTTTGGCCCAGCAGATCAGGCTGGAAACTAGAGTTCCATATCTCTCCGTCACCGCTGGAGTCAGATCATCAGCCAGTGGAAACAGGCATAGCACCACTGACTTGTTCTGATTTATGCTAGTTGAAGATCTGTCCCTCTTCCTCTGAAAAGTCCAACCTAGATGCTCCTGTCCTTCATATAAATGTCCAGATCTCCTCTGAATCCTGTTATGATTTTTTTTTCAGTGATACATTTTGTAACAAGTTCTTTAGACTATGCACTTTTATCAACTCTAAATCTACTGCCATTAGCTTTCATGAAATATATTTGTTCTTGAAGTATGAGATGGGGAGTAGAGGTGGCCAACTTACCTTGTCTTGCCATTTATTTTGCATACTTTTGTTCCATACCTCTGTAGTCTCCTCTCTGATTACATAATATAGCACACTAAGATAAAGTGCATGATAATACTTCAGAACAATTAAATGGCTCTAAAACAGAGATACTGGGCTAACTTTATCCAGGGTTTTATTCTATTGATTCTACAGAGTGCACTTCAGTTACAGCAGAGACTAATCTGTTTCCTTGTTCATTGTTTATAGGCATGTATTTTACAAACTGAGAAATGTTTTAGTAGGGAAACAGTTATTTTGAAATTGCTGGGTGGCAAATTATGGTCCTAAATATATCTGAAATATCTGCATCTGGTTTTAAATAGCAGCATAAAAGGCAGAAGCTACACAAATGTGTGTTTGACCTCTTTGTAAGCTTATATGTGACAAAACTTAACCATTGTAAATAAATGCAGAGGTTAACTTAAGGTAAGTTTAAATATTTATTTTTTAGTTACTATTCCCTAATTCTACCTTGGGTTTGTCTTGGAAAGCCATTAGATAATTTCTTTGTTAAAGAGAACTGAAACCTCAGTACAGGAGCTAGACTTTGGATTTGCTCAGAGCAATACAGGCTTATACAGAAAATGGGAGAAATTCATCTTACCCAATTAACTAGCATTACAGATGAATTGTGCCTCTTTTCTCAAAATGGAACTGTAAGAATCTGTCTGAATACTGTGAAAATCCTGGGCACAAAGTCAGTTCTTTAAAGAACAGGATCTAGTATTCAAAATGTCCTTTGCTTTAAACATTTATGACAATAAAGTTACTGAGTTACTTACCTTTGCCATTTCCTCCACTTCAGAAGCTGTATGGGCACCCTGCGCAAAGCTGTCATATCTATGAAAGAAGAATTTAAGTTGCTGTGCTGAAGAGGAACACAATACAAGGGAGTAAACAGACAGCTGTTTTGCTCTAATACATGGCAATAAACTTTTCAAAATATGTTTTATGAATTATCCCCAAGATTAAAATGTTGTTTTTCAAGTACATCCTAATGTTTATTTCCACCCCTAGAAAAAGGGTGCTTGAATCTGTCAATTTGTGCATGTTCCAACTGAGAGCCAAGAAGGGACCTCAGGTTAGGGACAAGTACACTTTTCTAATGGCAATAAAGTAATGCTTTGCACCCAGCATTTTAATAGAAGAAGTTATTTTGTAATCTTAGTTCATTTTACAGATGTCAACAATTTCTTAAGTGCTGGCAAGAATTTAGGGCACTGCTATAATCTATAAAGCCTTACATGGCCTGAGGCTGGAAGACTCCTTACACCATGCTGCTATAGTTGAAATCAGGTGGGTGTCCTAGTCATATAAAAGTGCAGGAGCAATTGGCAGTGGAATCTGGGGACCTTTGGAATTTGGTCTCCCCCACCCCCACCATCCAAAATATTCCTAATTTATGAATCTTCAGCACACACTACTAGATTAATCTTTTTTTCCTCAAAATTATAAGGGATTGTGAAGACTCTAAAAATGTCAATACATTTTCACCTACTCAATTTTTATTATACATCTAAAATAAATTTAAAAATACCAAAGGAAATATGCAATAACTAAAGAAAATATTGCAACGGACTTCTATAGGATTATTAATATGGGAAGGAGGTGAGATAGATTTTTCCCCATATAGCCAGAAAACTGTTCTTAATTAACATGAGGAAATCAATCATATCACCAAAAGAACAAAAGGCTCATTCAGATCACAGTCCTAACTTTAAAAATTGAAAATAAAAACCCCATAGGCCCTCCAAACACACTGAAAGGAATTTTACTTAATTTGTGCTTGGTTTCAACTGCTTTCCATTAAGCAACTTGTTTCTTAAAGGAGTTTCTTTGCGCATGCGTGCGCGCGCGCGCGTGTGTGTAGTTGTCATTATGAATCAAGTCTTTTTGCATGGGCCTTTTCTTTCAGTTCCTTAAGACTTTCATTTGCTCTTTTATCGTGCTTCAGAAGCAAGTGTAAACTAGTTTCTTGGCAAGGTCTCTGTGGCTGAGCCTTTCCTCCCAAAGGGCTTTGTCATTTATTTGCAATATGTTTGCAGACAGGGAAGAAGAGTTGAAAAGTCCAGCATTTTTGCTTTTGTGACGATGAATTTAAAAGCAGAAGTTCTCACTGACATACCACCTAATCCAAAACCCACTGAAGTCAATGGAAAAAACTCCATTGATTTCAGTGAGCTCTGGATCAGGCCGAAGAGTCTAAAATCAACATGCCTTAATTTCTTAATAGCAGTTAATTTTAATAGCAGTATTTCTATTGAACTCAATGCAGTTGCTGCTTAAAGCAAGTGTGGTTTGCAAAATTGGGACTCAGAACTGAGTCGATGATATTTCAGAATTTTAATAAAGATTTCATCAAACCAAATCCAGTAGTGTCTAGTTTTGTTTTCCGGCATCGTGCAATCATTTCCAATCATTCTTAAATTATTTTAATCTCTCATTCTTTCAGAATCAGAAGAGCTATGTTAGATGTCATCTAGCCCAGCTCTGCTGGTACAGAAGTCTACTACACAGTTCATTTCCAACTGCAGTTCTCAGTTTTAATTATCTCAAGAGTTAGGCTTCTAATATTACACTTTCTGATGGACCTCCTCAATCAGAAAACCTTTCTGGACATTTGGCTAAATGTTTACTCTTCTAATTTCTGAATCCTCATGGTAATACCCCGCTGCACAACCATAAATCATTCCTTCCCATCCTAACTGTTAACATTCTTTAAATAATAAATTATTTTTATGCGGGTGCCTGAAGAAACCAATCGTCTTTCTAGCTCTTCTCTTGGCTTCCTCCTGTTTGTTAGCATTTAGAAATGAAAGTTCTGCTTACTCATAGGTAAGTATTTTGCAACATCAGAAATAAGTCATAATTTAACTCCCCCCCTCCCCTGCTTTTGGCCTCTAAATGCTGTTTACAATCTATTATTTATTTTTAGCTAGCTCTGACACAGGAAGCCAGGTAGCTGTTGCAAAATGGATGACTACAGAGTGCACGATTAAAAGCACAACTGCATTTAACAATAATAAAACCCATGACCCAGATTCCACGGCAAAGTGATAGTGTCACTCAAGCTCTAACCTCCCACTGCCCATCTCTGGGTTCTCCAGTATCAGATTACAATCTACTTCCTTTTTGAAGTCTTATCAATATTGCACAAGAAGTCAACTAGCTACCAATCAAATCATACGAACATGCTCAAGACAGATGGCTACACAAAGTTTAACTACGTACTTCTTTTTCAATATAACCTCTATTTCAACCTGCTATAAGAAGAAGGTAAGAATGAGAAAGAACATCAAATGCCTTGGAACTGAAAATGATCATAGGTTTTACTTACTGAAAGCTATGATGTTACAAACCTTTTATTAGCATCTTAATTATCTCCACGTAAATATACTTTTTTTGCAGCCTTCCATAAACTATTCCCATAGCAAAACAACCACCACAGCTGAGCTGATAAGACTGTCCCTTCTGTACAAAAAAATCATCTAAACAGTCATTAATGCCTTGTTATTTGCAGGCTTCTGCCAGTCCGACTTACTTACATGGCTTACAGTGCTGCCTCCTATTGTATTTCACTTACTCGCCAAATAATTCTGCCTGGTGACAGGGAAAGCATTTTTAATGCTTTGTCTATACATAAAGCAAATCACATGGCAAGGCAACACCTAAAAGAGGGTGGAGAAGTTTTCTACAGGGAGACGTGACTCGAACATTTAGCAATCAGCTAAGGCACACGTCAGGATAGCTTTGCTGTTTATTTTTCAAACTTGGCCTTGTAATGACTCAAGGTAACCTGAGCCAGAGATTTGATTTATATTTTATGTAGAAAAATGAAAACAAATAAATAATAAGGAAAACTGAAGCAGGAGGTATGGCCAATATTTATTTACCTTTCTGCTCTTTAAATGATGTTATTTTAATGCTTGTCAAAGTTGCCAAATAGAGAAGCCCAAAATGTAAAGTCTCCTCAGCTTTGATTTTATATGGTCTCATGTCCCAGGGCCTTTCCTCTTTCATTTTCCTGGAATCTGATTCTCTCTTTTAGTTACCCAAATACCTATACACTACTCTGCCCTTAAGGGGGCTGGACTGGGCCCCTGAACACTCCCTATGGAAGGGCCTTCCTCGGTTGAATAGAAATGGTGCGCAGGCTGTATACAAGTCCTGCTCTCAGCCCCTAGTGCAGGGGTCACATTGAGGGTGGGGCAGGAAAAGGAGGCAAGTGGCATTGCTGGAATGTGTTGTGACACAGCTACTAACTGCTTTCCAACATTCATAAGGGACTGGTAATTTTCAAGTATTTTCACTTCTGTGCTTTTACTTGTGGCTGCCTTGACCTACATCACAGGAGCAAACATGTGCAAAGCCACCCCCCTATCCACTACAAATGCTTCCTTAAAGCTCTCCTCAACTGCAATACAAGAAACTCAAAAATGGTCAGCTGGTGTGTTACATCAGCTACTTATCCTTGTGTCCAGTATTACCTCATTATTAATTTATGTGTATATTTGATTTACATATTGCTCAAATGCTCAATAATGCAATTGCTCAATAAAGACTCAAAGTAGCTTATAATAAAAATGAGATAAATTATAAAAACAGATACAATATTAAAATAAAATACAAAGTAATAAAACAGTAACCCAGAACTTAACCCTGCTTGCTAAAACCCTGCCCAAAGACAGTAAAAGCTATTTTAACCAGCATTTTACTAATCAGAATACTTTATTAACCAGAATTTAATAGATCTGTGCTGGCGGGATGAGGCCAGGGCAGCACCAGGCTCTTCCCGGAGGCGCTGGGTGCTGGGACTGGCCCACCTCACTGTTTGGCTTGCCCAGCAGCGGGATGCACATGGCGCTGCACCACTTTCAAAGCAGCGGCAGCAAGGTGCAGAGGCAGAGAGCAGAGCCCAACCCACAGCTGCAGCCTGCCCTTGCCCTGTGCACAGATAAAAGAAAGTAGATCGAAGAAAACTTACCTGCCCACTGGGCCAGCTGCCAGTATAACTCTCAGATAACTGGAATCTTTAGATAACCAGCACCTCCTTACTCCACTCATGCCAGATAACAAAGTTTTTACTGTAAAAACGTCTTAAAACACTTCTGGAAAACATCCAGGCTTGGGCCTCTAAACTCTGCTATGTGTAAATAAATATTATAATATCACAGCAAGTATTGCCAGCATGCTTAACAATTACTTGAAGCCATTATTTATATCCCATGGGGAAAGTACTTGATGGACAGCATATATTGCAATAGACCGGAGACTAACAGCCATGCAATGTATAAATCTTGTTGAAAGCCTGAGAGAGCTAGATTTCATCAGGGGTTGGGAATTTAACTCTTCTTTGCTCCTGAGTCTTTATTCTTTCTGACATTTAACTGGTAACTTTTATTCATCTGATCAAATAAAATCGTCAACCTCCTGGGTCACACAAAGAAGTTGAGGCTGGAGAAATGCCTAATTTAGATGTAGACACAAAGTTTCATGGACACTGTGTCCTCTTTTTCTGATTACCATAGACAGGTAGAATGAAAGTATGTTCCACTTATAACTCACTGTGGCTGCTCCTGAGTTTGGTGCTTTCCAGTGTGCTTCCTTGATTTTCTGAAGGAGAAGAGCCAAGCGAAAGGGGATCTAAATCCCAGGATGGAAGATGAGGTGTTCTTTTCATTCTTCTGTGGTTGTGGATTTGGGGGAGATGGCATTTTCAAATCATTAGGATCTAAAAAAATGTTAAAATATTGCAGATAGCTAATTCCAGTTGTTCTCAAATGTAAACATTTCTAAAATATAAAAAAATAAACAATAATTCTGCATGCCTGAATAACAGCTGAAAGCAATCTGTTATTGTCAGGGTTAACTGTAGTTTTGATAATAGGCGAGACAATGGATTTGTATAGGATGATTTGGATAGGGATGATCCTGTCTGAGCCAGGCGGTTGGACTAGATGACCTCTGGGCTAAGTATAAACAGTCAAAAAGCCCAAAGCTGCATTGATTCAATTGTTGAAGGTTAGTTTACACTGCATAGATTGAATTGATAAGAGACTGAACAGACATTCACTTTTGATTCCAGAAATGCAGCCACATGCCTGTAGTGGCCCAGGCCAGAAGCCAGGGGGTGCTAGAGCATACCTCCCTGCTTGGCCAGAGTAGACAGCTTATGCCAAGGCTAGCCCATCAACCTGGCGAAGGGACAGTTTGCTGGGGAGGTGCAAAGCAGCCTGGGATGCTAGGGGACTATGCACTTGAATCTGGAGGGGATCTGGGACAGAAGTTCAATAATCTGATTTAACCTAAATCAGTTAAGTCCGATACTACATCCATCCGTCCACTTATCTTAAACCAATTTTGACCATTTTGAAAGTGGTTTATGTGCCCTGAACTTCTGCTGTATTACAGATTTGAACCAGTTTCTGATCACTTATATCAGTTTATGTATAATTTCTGTCCCTCTTTCCCTAGACCTGGAGGTCCCTTCCAGTCCTATTTCTCTATGATTAAAAATGACCTTGAAAGAAAGCAAAGAGAGGCTGAGCCCTTTTGTGATTCTTTATGATGTATATCACTGGTCTGCAAGTTATTCCACCCCACCCAACCTAAACACACACACACTCATACATCTTATTTTCCTTATATGTTTTATGCTAGATATATGCAAATATTAGTGATATCACTTAAGAGAGAACAGACACATGCTGACTTCTGGGGAGTAAGATACAGAACGGGTTCAAAATTTTCCAAAGGTAAATAGTTTTTAGAAAACATGGCCACCTACCTTGCGAAATTCATACCCATTTTAAGTTTTCTCCACTTAGGCATTCAAAAACAGAGGCACCCAAAATCACCAGTCACTTTTGTAAATCTCAACCAAATCCATAAAGAAGACCTCAAATGTGTACGGCACTCCAATATCACAGACCTGACCATGCTATAAATGACTAGGCTAGATGGACAACTCCACTTTTACTTATACAAGAGTAACGAGTACTTAGGTATCTGAATGTTATTAAACGTTTTTCAGCCCAACTTCCACTGGATTCACCACTCCAATCTAGGGACATGAGTGCTACATTTAATGCATCTAAAATGTTTTATTTTATATAAGCTGTCTTTCCTAGAAATTATGTCAAAAACCTTTTGTTTGCAGGCATGGGAGTTGATGAAAAGTGGGAGAATTCTTTAATGGGAACATGAATGATGTCCTCTTGCTAAAAGCCACTGAAAATGGAGGGGAATGATAACCAGATTATTGTTCACAGAGTAATGAAACAAACTTCAGTCTCTGGTGCTAAGTGCCACAGAGGACAGAGAAAGCAAAGCAACACTCAGGGAACAGGGTGCTGGGCACGGTTCCAAAATTAAAAGTGCTTTTCAATGTTTGTCTCTGTTTTGGGTCATCTAGTTTGAGAGACAACTCAACATCTTAGCGTTATAGTATTGAAGACAAGATATAGAATTGAAATGGATACACAACAACATAGCAGTAGCTTGTATAAACTGCATATCTGCTTTATATGATGCTGCTTCCAGCTATTTGATGGTGTTTTTCTGGAAAGTGACAGGGCCAAAGCACAAAGTTGTATCAGAGATGTGAATGGAAAAGCAGGATACAATGCTCTTGAAAATACATGGCTGTAGATTGGAAAAGATACTTCAGAGCATTAGTGACCAATCACTTTGGCAGCCAGGAGTGGATCCAGATGGGGTGCAGTGCTGCGACTGCACCCCAGTTTTGCATTGGACTGCATCACAGGAGCCTCTGGGGACTTTTTAAAATCCCCAAAGCAGGTAAGAATTCTCCCCTTCCCCTCCATGGTCAAAAGCATGTCTTGTCCCCTCCCCTCCCTGCTGTGAGGGCTTTCCTTGCTGTCCAGGGATGGGGAAATTTCAAAGCTGCTGCTGCCTATTTCAGTGGAGTTGCATGTGGGCTGAGCTCAGCTGGGAACAGCAGCAGAGATAGGTAGGGGGGGTCCCCCCGCCCCACACCTACTCCTAGGGGACTGGCCAGGGTGGGAAACCACCCCCAACCCCCATGCTGCTGCTGCTGTCACAGAGCCCAGGACCCATGCAGCCTGGCTGGAGTGGGCAGGAGTGGTTTTGAAGCTACTCCCACTCCCAAGACAGTGGGGAAGGCAGCAGCAGCAAGCAGGGGAGGAAAAAGGCAGGGACATGCTTTTGAGCACAGAGGAGAAGGGGGAGGATTGTTTTAAAGTCGTCAAACCAGGTAAAAATTCCCAGACTTCCATGGTTCAGCTGGGAGGGGGGGAGGAAGTGGGGGTGCAGCCAGTCCTGCAATGCAGGTGGCTGCTCCTGCATCCACCTTTGGCAAATCCTGGATCCTTCCCTGTTGGCATCTATGCCTCAAATTAAGACTCATCCCCGCCCTAAGTAGGAGACCTCTCACGGCTGTATCACAGCTGCAATCAGATCAGTCTAATACAGTATCAGATCCTCACCCAGACAACCTAACACTTTCATTTTCACACTTCCTAGCCTGTGTGATCAGCCAAGGATCTACTCAGATACATTCAAACTCTACTCCTCCAAATCTTTATTAGCCACTGAGATCTACCTAGCTTAACAAAAACCTCATTTATCTTAAAGTACTTCCATTTCTTCCATCCCTTAAAAAAGATCTGCCTGTGAAAGTTAATTATTTAACTATATTTACCTTTAATTTTTATTTCTGAGACTACAATCATTTATATGAAGCTGATGTTTTTGCTTACATCAGATAACATCTACTGTAGTATTTGCTTATGATCTTTGCAGCTATCATAACTAAGGTAAGATATACAAAGAGCTTGCTAATGTGTTGTGCTTTTAACACAATCAGCTTCAAAGCAATATATTTTCATTCGAGGGTGTGTTTTTGCTAAAGCTTTGATGTGAGAAAGAATCTAACAAAATTCCAGAATTTCCTTCTCACTGAACATGGAGAAACTTTGATGCACTGTTTTGATGACATTCACATAAGAAAGGAATTTGAAAAAAACTCTGACTCACTGTTTCTCGAAGTCTTCTTTAATTGGTGACCTATTGGTTGTTTTAGCATTCTGCTGACACCTTCAGTGTCATTCTGAAGGGTTTTTTCCTCCATTTCTTCAAACCATTCTCCAGTGACTCCCTGCTGTCCTGTTACATCTGGCTTTTTCTTTTGAAGTTTGCTAGAAGAAAACAAAATCACTGTGGTTTTTCCCCCCTCATCTCATTTAGAAATTTACCATTTCCTCACTAGGAATCCTTCATCTCCTTGTGGTTATGGTTAATACCTAAAAATCAAACGACTTCATAAAAACAAACAAATGAGGGCATTATCTGTGCAGGTCAATGGAAAGATACCCTTTGACTTCAATGGGAGTTGAATTCTCCAATTCAGTATGGTACTTAATTATGTGCCTAACATTTTTCATCAGTGGAACTACTCATATGGCTTGAGTTAGTTACTGCCATGAAGAATTCCAGCCTTCTGTGATACAGAATTGGGACCAAAATGCATGACCATATAGGACTGTGTGTACACCTTAAAACTTACTGAAGCCAAGCCAAGATTAGAAATCTTTGAGGTCAATAGCTCAAAGAATATTTATTATATTGAAACAAAATTTGATATTTTCACCCTCTCATTTACATAGAAGAAAGAATAGGGTTGTTCCCATCATTTGTCAGAAACACTTTGAGGGAAAACCTGTGTTTTATACAGCATGCAGCAAGGTAGGGGAGCAAGCTTCAGGTGGGTAATAGAAATACATACCCAGATAATAGTAAACACTAAATGTAATCTGTTAAACAAGATTATCACAATTTTGTCTTTTTTTTCCTTGATGCACTATAGCTTGTTGTACATTTAATACATGTTTTAGTCAACCTACAACATTTTTCTCCCAAGCAGAAAACTATGTGAGTAAACATGAAGGAAATTATGCAACTAGTGCTATCAGGAGTTGGAGTGGCAGGCAGCCATGCAAGCCCCCAGCTGGCCCTGCTAGCTTGGGAGGTGCCAGCTGCCCCCAGCTAATTCCAGTTAAGCAACTGCCTGTGGCTGCTTGCAGTGACCTTTGGCATTCTCATAAGATTTTTTGTTTAGCCCTCAGTGCTCCTGGTTCTTGATTCCCAGTCTTGATTCCCTGAGTGTCCTAATCCAGCTCAGCTCCTTAGTCCTCTCTTCCCTAGTCCAGTTACCTGTCATTCATTCTGTTGTTCCCTGATGCCCCTCTTCGTACCTGAACGTCTGCCTAGCCCACAATCTTGCCTCGCTCCCTGACTCTACCCAGCTTATGACCCTTTTGGCTCTTGGGCTCCTAATATTGTTGACCCCATCAGCTCTTAGACTTCTCAGGCATGTGCCCTTAGCCCCTGGAATCTGACACCCCCCCCCATGTCTAGGTCATGCCCACGACAAGATCATGAACTGAAAGAGAAACTGCATAATGGCTTCAGGTTTTGTTCCAGATAAGTTGTCATATGAATATAGAATTTATCTAAATATAAAAGAATAAGATATATTGCAAAAAATCCTGACTGTGCCCCTGAACTGCAAAAGTACTGGCTTTCATACTATATTATGTACGGACCTGATCATAGGCACAGACATATTTACTCCACACCCAGCTAGCTAATTTTGATAGTGAAGAACATGACCCGTGTGCAGACAAGTGATGTAATGCCAATATTTTAATAAGGGCTCCCACTAAACTCTTCCATCTGAATCCCTAGTAAACCCCCCATCTCAGGGAAGTGCATGTGCTCTTACACCAGGGGTGGGCAAAATGTGGCCTGGGGGTCGAATGCGGCCTGCCAGGCCATTCTATCCAGCCCTTGGGGCCCCTAAAAAATTTAGAAAATTAATATTTATCTGCCCCGGGCTGCCTGTCATGCGGCCCTTGATGGCTTGCCAAAACTCAGTAAGCCGCCCTCTGCCCAAAATAATCACCTGCTCGTGTCTTACACAGAGGGTTAGACTGAGAAATCTACTCGTTCATCTTTTAAATGAAAATCCTTTTGCCATGCTCTCTGCTGGAGACAACACCAGTTGGTACATGAGATTAAATGAAGTGCATCTGCCAAGAACATTTACATTTATTTCTGAAAATTATATTGAATACTTTTATGTCTAGCACAGAACATTCTTGTGTCCTTTGATGGAAGGTATGATTGGGTTGGAGGCACTGTAGGTAAATTTGTGAACATTTCTCATTAGCAATTTTTTTTAAGTACTCAATAATTGGAACAAACTGATGTATTGAAAAGGCAAAAATAACTGCTCATCACAAGTATTTCCAGAATCCTGGGAGATGGTTGAGAAGTATCCAAAGACCAGGTAAATCCCATCACAAACAAGAAAATCACCCTAGTTTTTGTGGCAAACTGGGAAGGTATTTTAACCAGGTACTTGAGAACCACCTCCACTACCTCTCTGATGCAGCCTTAGCACAACAGATGAGGAGGAACGGGATACAATATCTGAGAAACTGCAGTTACAAGAAACATCTGGAAAATGAACACGCAACAATTTTCCTGGAGTACTGAACACTGAAAAATTTCTTATAATGAACCCCTACAAGTCTCTTAAAATAATCCATATATAATGTTAGTCTGATTTGTGTAAGATGTAAACATATGATTTCAATAAAAAGTTACAATTTATATGTCGGTACAAATTTTGACTCTTTTTCAAGGAAGGCAAGTAAAAAACATACCTAAAGTATGGCCATCTAGTGGTAAAAAAACAGTAGTGTTTGGAGAGCCTGAAGCAAATATGGGACATCTGAATTCCTCACCATGAGTAAACTTCCATCATTTTTTATTACGGTTTTTATTTTATTTGCCCCAGGAACGGTTTTCCAAGGCCTCTGTTAACTTCTAGGCTGTGAAAGGTTATTTGCTCACTCAGGTGAACACAAAGTGACACTGGCCTGGCCTTGCTGTGTGCTAGGGACACAGGGCAGAGGAGGGGATGCATGGAGAAGAGAGAAACATAGTGCAGCATCCGCGCCTTTCTCCCTGCACACCCTCCCCTGCCCCAAGTCCCCAGTACATGGCTGCACCGGTGCCACACTGTGTTCCCACGTGCTGCTTCAAGCCACGTGGGTGCAGCTGGTGCAGCTACTTACCCATCTCAGCCATGTGCTGGGGACTGGTGGGGAGGGGGAGGACTGGAAGAGCTGCAGGAAGCTTGTGTGTGCGCGTGTGTATGTGTGTGCATATGTGGCCCTCAGCAGCTCAACAAAACTCATTCAGTGTCCCTCCAGCCCAAATAATTGCCCACACCAGAGATAAAGCACTTACAAGACAAGATGGTATCTGGAGTCAGAATGACAATTAACTTGTCTTTGAGACACTGCTGTTAATACTTGAATTGCAACACTGGTGGAAAAGCAGGAACTAAATTAAACGTTGGGACACAGCTCTGGACCAATATCAAAGCCCCTGGATGCCTTCTACCCCAATGAGTATTGCTTTTCTATCTCCTCAGCCTCATTTCTTTCCAGGCAATAGTTTCAACAACACCCTTTTGGGAGGAGACTACCTAAGTGTGATTGACAAGAAACTTCCTCTAAAATCTTGCAGGATTAAAGAGAGCTTATTTCCAAAGACTGCCATCAGAAGTCCTACAGAGTACTCAACAAAATATAGCAATAACTATGTTGAATTAACTTCAAATAATGCATTTTCCTCCTGATTTTTCCCCCATTTGTTATCCCAAGCATCTCAGCTATTGAGTCCTCCATGAACAAATCCCTCACCATTCTTTCAAACACATCTCTACCTTACTTGCATTAGCATGTGCTGATGCTGTTTACACAGGTTGGGAGATCTGTAATAAGTGAGTCGCATAAGGAAGATGTTACCTGAGTGATTTTGGTGTGGCGCTACCTGGTATGACACGAGAGGTATCTTCCCTATCAGCTTCATTATACAGATGAGGGAGAAGAGTCTGGAATGCTGAGCAAGGGTCTCTGGGAAGTTCTCTGCAACAAACTATTTACTTGAAACTGAGGACCCAATTCTACTTTACCAAAGTCAAAACTGGTCCACTAATTTCTGTAGGAACAGAAAACGATCCTCTTTATACATACAAAATAAGAGACCAGATATCTGCAATGACCAAAGCAAGCAGCAGACTCCACAGGGAAGAGGATATGCAGACCAGAAAGCACATCAGAGCAAGACAATCAGTAGCTGAGAAGTCCGAGCTGAAGTGGTTGCATACAAAGCTGTGCTCAGATACCAAACCTCCACAGTGCAAATCTGTAAGAAACAGATTTAGCCATAAAAATTTAGCCTTTTACTCTGCTAACATAATTAACACGGACTGGAGGGCAGGGAAGGGAGCCGGCGGAAGCACCAGTGATAGAGACGGCCCAGTGGGAGCTGTCCCCATCAAGCAATATGCAGTGCTGGCCAGAGCCATGTTCTGCCCGGCACCAGCACCTCTACCAGGCACAAGTGCCCCGAGCACCCCCACCTGCTGCTGTGCGATGCGAGGGAGTGTCAGGGGGGTCCCCACACCTCCCCCACTCTCCCTTACACCCTACAAATGCCACACACACACACACCCTGCCCCACAACCCCCACATATACACAACTCCCAACATACCCTATGCCCCTGCACACACAGCCACCCCCTCACACATCCCCCCACACACACATCCACACACCCCAACATGTACACTCCCCCACACAATATACAAGACTAAGAATTTATTTTTGAGTTATCACCTCTATATACAGTATGCAAACACAAATCATGACAAATATATTGTTTGTAATAAAATTAAAATATGTTATAGTAGGTGCTTGACTTTTAGTGTATGATTTGATTTTTTTCGAGTTCTCAGATGGCAACCCCCCCACCCAAAAGGAGGATTTCTGGGGGGTGGGGAAAGAGGGGGATTTCCAGTGGCAAAGGTCAGAGGTTAAGGGGTAGGACTTCCGGTCCTAAGATGGCAACTGGGGCTGGGGCAACTGTCAAGGGATAGGGCTACCCAATACTCCAAGCCTGCAGCGGGTAGCCTGTATCCCCCGCCCCACGGGCTCCACTCTAGATATGCTGCCCACAGAGGAGGAGATGGGTGGCGGGGCAGGAAGCCGGGCTCCTTGCTCTGGCCTCAGCAGCTGCTGCTTCCTGCAGGGGGCAGCCAGGGCTCAGGCATTGCTGGGGTGG